GCTTTTGCTGATAGTGTCCGGCCAATGGATGTTAAGTATCTTACGTAGACAGCTATTGATAAATACTTGTACCTTCTTGATTGTGATTGTTGTAGTTCTCCACGTTTCAGCTCCGTACAGTAGAACTTCCTTGACGTTGGCATTGAAGATTCTGACTTTGATATTGGTTGAAAGTTGTTTTGAGTTCCGTATGTTCCTTAATTGAAGGAATGCGGCCCCTGGTTTGCCGATCCTCGCTTTTACGTCTGCGTCTGAACCTCCTTGTTCATCGATTATGCTTCCCAGGTATATGAAGGATTCCACATCTTCCAGAGTTTCGCCATCAAGAGTGATTGGATTGCTGTTCTCCGTGTTGTATTTGAGGACCTTGGTTTTCCCTTTGTGTATGTTGAGGCCTACTGATACAGAGACTGCTGTTACGCTGTCTGTCTTTATTTGCATTTGTTCGTATGTATGCGATAGGAGGGCTACGTCATCTGCGAAGTCTAAATCGTCTAATTGATTCTGAGCTGTCCATTGTATGCCATGTGAGATCTTATAACACCTACACAAAAATCTGATGAATAAAACAATTTACAGTTATTTCATGTTTGCTGTTAATTTCCTTTTTAATGAGAAATTAGGTCAATCAATCACCTAAATGTTGACTAATTGAATGAATGAATACAAGTGGTTTGAATGGTCCTAACAACAACAAAAAGAAAGAAACCTGAAATATTCCTGTTATAATTTTCTTAAAAATCACTCTAAATGAATTTTAACGAAAATAAGTTAATATGAGAAAAAGTTTTGTAGATATTATAATAATTTTAATGGTTGAGATCATGAGTCAATTGAAGCTAGATTCCTCAGCATTGCGCTAGTTAGTTAGTTGATCAGTGCTTAATTAAATTACTTTTCTATTCATTAACAAAATAATTATTTTCCTATTTTTACGCATAATAAAAATAATATGTTCCCTATAAATCTATGGATAATCAGATTTAATATATTCTAGAATTTTGTCAGTTTCAATATTTATGTTTGATTGTAAACAATTAATGAATTCACTTTGATATTCCATTTTAACATTCAATTGATTATTGTAATTAACAATAAAATCATATTTATTAAAGTTCAGTTCATTCCTTGAAACATCAAATACAAAGAGAAAGACATTATGACATATTCAGTATGAATAATTATTACCTTAGTAAGATACATTTCAACAGTATCTATCCACGACACTAACAAGCATAGAACTCCTAACCACTGACATCATTAGATTCAAGTTAAATGGTGTAATTACAACTCTAATCAATTTGTAATATAGTCCAACTACAATCTAATGTCATTGATGATAACTGTTTTATTTCCACTTTGTCTAAACTCTATCGGTTATGATTACTTACTAGAACTTTTGGGGTATTTTGAAATTACCAAGGAGCTTTAACGAATACAATCTACAAATTAAGCTAATCTCCATGAATTTATATTATTATTCTGATCGAAAGTTTATGTTTATAATAGAATTCATAGCTTTGGTTTTCAAATATATATTTTATGTATTCATATCAACCGGATAACGATTCAGTATTTTAGAAATTAAGTACAGCTTAAAGTATATTTAGCTTCACATGCTCACATGCAATGTAATAGTTATTACGGAATTACTAACAAAAGCAACTGACATTTACACTCCACAAACTGACTTGTAAAATGTTTCCTTTTTATTAAAGAAGCTTAGTAGTAAGTGTACCTAATAAGAACTGTAATTCAAGTTTCAGGGGTTTGTAGTAAGGATACCAAAATTATATCAACACTCAACTAACAGTGACCGATATTTATAAATATTTCTCAAAAAATCCATTTATAATTATAAGTATTATCTAGCTAATCGTACCCCATGAACAGATGACCTGAATTATATATATATATATATATATATATATATATATATATATATATATATATATATATATATATACATTGAGAAATAATAGAAAAATTCTACCCAAAAGGCAGTTCTGTTAACCGAGGTACTGAACTAACATTTCCATCTGTGGTGATGAATGGTATAATGGGTAGAATTCCTTAAATGCTGGTTTCTGAACTAAATAAAATTCAGGTTCATACATACTGTTAATTACCTTCAACCATTCAAAATTCAATAGAGTGCATTAAAATGTCAGATCACTTGACTTGTGCATATTTTGTACATGTAATATGTGTCATTAGACCAAATCTGCAAACTAAATGACTTACACTATTGGTTAAAGCAAAATATGACTGATTTGTGCAAATTTGATAAAACAATAGTACAGTGATAGAAACATAGTTTATTCAGAAGGTCAAATGTAGTACACACAATATATTGGACTAAAAACAAATTATTTCGAGTTTATAAATTAAAGATATTGATGAAAAGTTTCAAGGTAGTTTTTCACACAGGTTGAATATAGCAAGAACAACTTAATCATAATGACTGAGAAGTTCCAGTTACCAGCATAAACTCTATTAGTTTAAAACGCAATATTGCCAGCTGTCGGTTCTCAATGTCTCAGGTTCAAATCTATGTGAAACAAATCGTACTTAGTAAACTGGGAATACAACAACACATTTATCTGATACTTCTAGACAGTTTAGTTACGTAATCACCCGAAAAGAAAACATTTCAAGGAGAGTCCTACATCTCTGCCTTTACATTTGTTCATCAAAAAACTTACAGGATTATTAACTCTTATTAGTCAATTAATTATTGCTGAGTGATAATAATCCGAAAAGAAAACAGATAGAGAAATTTTAAAAAAATCGATCACAACCAAATTTGCATACATGTCTACTATGAATTATTAAACAATATGACTGATACAGGTCATCTATGAAGAAGTTAATATAGGTTACAAACGGATATACGCAACACAACTTTTTATTGATTACAAATATAACAACAATTGGGACAATAAAAATTTTTCGAACCAGTTTATAAAGTCATTTCATAGTTTACCTTTGTTTTCTGACTCCACACTCACGGTGATGATGATTAAATATATAAATACAAGAAAATCCCTAACACTCAATCCCCCTTATAAAGTTTCTTTTCAGTTTTATTACTTCAAAGATTAAGTAGTATCTTATTGCTAGGAAGACTGTAAGTTATCTAGTTCTTGAGAATAAATGTTGATTTCTTTCCTGTAATGACAACCAAGAGCATATTTTTATTATTTCGTATTTCTGTATGACGATTGTTTTCTAATTGGTTATTATCACTTTTAGTTTGCTAATTTTCCCATATTTCCCACGGTTATATTATCGTCCTATATATATACAAGATGTTCTACTTCAATTTTTTTGTTTTTGTTGAATATCAAGCTACTACGTCACATCTATGTGATCATTGATGCAGTGAACATTAAATAGATTATATACGACTACGAATTGCGTTTCACAGCCGAAGTTTAGTAATTAAAGTGCTCCTCTTTCAACCAAATTACTGGTAGTTTCTGAACTCACTCCACTCCATATTTCGATTAGGAAAGCTGTGAGTAGTATAGTCTTCATAAAGACAATGTGGGTCAAATTTGAGTTCATTAATCTGGTACTGGTAAATTCAATTCTAAAATCATGCATAATTTGAATCCTAAATCAACTGTGAGGTTTCACTTAGAAAGTACTTTCGCCCAATCATTTTAGAACACTTAATGAACTCTTCACAATTATAACGAAATATTCGGAAAGTTTTAATATTTTGCTAGATTCACATGCAACATGATATTTGATGAATCGTGAAACATTAATTCTTCTATACAGAAAGATATCCTTGTAATCCATTTACTCTTTCAATGGATAAAATATTCAAAGTAATACTTAGTTAAATGATATATTTGAAAACTCACTAACTTATTATTCATTCGAGTGAGAAACAAGAATTATTGAAGTAGACATTGTAAATATACGGCATACGAATTCGTATAAATCAAATAGCGATATCAATGATATTGATTACAGATTGTAACCGACTTTCGTATATATATATATATATATATATATATATATATATATATATATATATATATATATATATATATATATATATATATATATATATATATATATATATATAATCAACCATATCAGTACATGTTTATGTACTCAGCTTTGAGTGACACAAATTGAGTGAAACCTCATAATATCCAGTTCTCAAAATCGAAACAGGTGGACAGGGACTCGGACTTACGAAATATTGGGTGAGAATTCAGTGCATTAATTAACAAACGGTTGATCAATAATTTTACACATCAACCACAAGGTCTGGTTTTTTGAGTCAAACTACACTATCTACTGTTTGACCGAACGAGTAGTATCACTAGCCTAACGAAAACATTTAGTCTAAATTGCAGTGCATAAATCGGTAAGTGGCTAGTGAATTACAATAACTTTAGTTAATCTGTAGATTATTTACCGGTCAATGTGTTTAGAAGTAGTTTTTATTAATAAAGTATCAAGCTTCATGGATAGTAAAAATAGCTTATACTCATAACTATACGGGATACGAGAGCATAAATGTTTATTAATATACAATCTGCTTTAAAACAAAACTTCATACAAGAAAACTCAAAATACGAAAACTACTGAAGAGCTACTTCAACTGATTCAACGAATACACATAGTAAGAGTGATATTTACATTTAAACTGAGAATAAAAACTTTATAATTCTTGACAAGTTACAACATTTATTCATTATTACTTAACAAATATACTGAAGAAGTTGCACTGAAGATAAACTGTGTGGAGTAGTAGTGCTTAGAACTTACCATTCAACTAGTAGGTAGCAGATCCGAATTCTGTTCTAATTTACTTTCAGCAGGCAAGTAGTATTACTAGCCCTTGTAAAAACAAAACAGTTTGACTCGAAACCAGCTCTATATAAGCCGGTATACTGGGTAGGTTAATATTAAATCATTTTGGTGATAATATCAACAAAGAAATAATAACCAGTGAAATGTAAACAGAAGCCAACCTGTAAATATTTCTTAGGGATCGATGTAGATGAATCCACTTGCAAGAACATGACATTATCTGCTTCTTGAGAAATTTTACCACCACCATATAAACTGTTAATTGAAAGTAGACGACCAATTTCTTCCTATTTAAAGGTGAAACCATATTAAACAATAAAAGAATTTACTTTTCGAGGATGAGCGACGATTGTAACATGTGTACCCTTTTCAGTGGCAAAAGCACGTAATTTTTCTACAAAGTGATCTTGACGCTGAAAACGTTCCACGAAAGCACCATCACCGGCGCCTAGTAAAAATTGTAAATTATCGATAACTATGTGTTCTACGCCAGAATCTTTGACACCAACCTCCATAGTCTACTTATAAATAGTAAAGAGAAATAAAAACTAATCAAATAAACGAACAAATTTTACCAATAGTTGATGTAAACCATAAGTTTGTTATACGTGAATATAAGAATAATCCGTATAGGGACCATATTTGATGTTCAAGAACAACAATACTCATCAAAAACATGCCTGGCTTAAGTATTCTGTAGTTTCGTGTAAATAAGTGGAAGCCCTTAACCCATGTTTTATGATAGCTTGGATCAACTAATATAGGATATTTGTTGTTTTCAGGGAAACTAATTTTTCTCATAGGATTTTGTCCAGCATCATGGAGTGTTGCAACTAGAAACTTAATCATCGAGTTATTCAGGTTGGTATTGATCTATTTGATCACAATCCGGCCTGACCGGTGAAATTTCATCAGCACTTAGGACCAGATAACATAATATCCATTTATACAGGTGTTTTAAAGCATTTTTCCGGAGCGGGTACTTATAGACTAATCTAAACTGAAGCATTAGATTCTCAGTTTTTAGAAGGAATTTCAAAAAAGGACAAACATAGGTTACTACTTTTCGAGTAAATTGCTTCACTTGCTTCGAATTTTTCCTGGACAAACAATCTTACTCTGGTACTATTGCCTATATATAGAAATATACGCTTGTTTCAATTAACTAATTAATGTCCTTAATTTTACCGTCGAAAAATAATAGTTGAATATTGTTAAGATCATGAACCGATCTAAGTTACACAACCACAAAAATCTTGCAAGGACTGGGTAGTTGTTTCAACCAAGTATGGGTCTCCAGAGTAGTGCACATCCAGGATGCTGCAAAAGAGAGTAAAACCCAAAACCTTCAGTCTCGTGAGCGAATATCTAACTAACAGACCACTGAGCCGGGATCCAACGGTGTACAAATCTAACTTCAGTCCACGACATTGGGCGACCATTTTTCATTGTCTTTGTTGAGTATCTTTCTCATACTCGATACAGATTAGCTCTATTGACCACGGGTGTCTGGTACTCCCACGTTTTCAATAGTTGTTTAACTTAGTTCGTTAAAATGCTGAATAATGAGAAATACAAGCACTATGCTATTGAAGTCAACTATCAGACTACGCAACGTATGAGAATAAAAGAACAGTAATATCGAGGATTTCCACGTGCTTTTTGAAATTTGCCGAAGCGATAGAGATCAAACGTCTAAAATCAGATCTATTTATCCAAAAAGAGACAGTTATAAATCTTTCTTTTCCCTGGTAACATCACACCCGTTTTTTATTTATTACATCATCCATTATCTCAACTCTTTCTGAAGTTCGATTACATCATTGTCATTATTCCTCAATGCATATCCTTCTCTATTACCAGTAATCTGTTTTTAATTGCTTCGTTACACAATCATCTAATGTTTGTTAACTGCATGAGTTTTAATCGCTATTTCAATGTTCTGCGACTTTCCCTTCCAAACTTTATTTATCCGAAACAAATTTTTCATGACATTAACTCTATCCGAATCTTCGTTACATCATGATACACATATTCATCTCTAATTACCCTCGTATTTATAAGTACGTCAATATTTGTAATAACGTTGATTTTAAATATCATGGGTTGTAAGCAGCTGATAAGAACCTAACGAAATAGGATGAACTAATATATTATTCTCCACTAATCTTCGTTCTTGCTTTCTTTAAAATAGTGAATCAAGCTGCTCATAACTCGAAAGGGAAGATAAATGATAGTGCTGTTGGAAAGAACCCTATAGCAGTGAAAAAACAAGTCCAAGCATAGATTACCCAAAACATTTTTTGAGTCAATGGAGAAAATTATTTTTGGTGAACGTATTGTATCATAAAATATTTTGAAACAAACTCTTATACACAAAAGGAATTAATAGTTAATGATATTCATTTTTAGATAACCACATTTTGATGGACATTAAGCTTTATTTTCGCTTGCCTACATATTTAAACTTACTTCTTCAATCTAGAACTACTCTATATTTAAGCTACTGTTCGGTACATATATTTCTCTCTTGTATATTATCTTATTCAATAACTTCACCGCTTCATTTGAACTTGTAATTTGAGAATTTAACTTGTTACTCATTTCGAATATATAATAAATTTTATTTTAAGATGAGTTTTGATATTTCATTTAACGGTTGTAATGCATCAAAAATTAAGTGCATTATCAGTCTACTTGAAGTAGTGTGTTGTTTAATTGGTTAAGAAATAATTGCGTTACCATGAGATGCTAAAAAAACTCTCCATAATTCTCAATTTCCTTACTCTTAATAATCATGCAATATGATTAATTTCAATAGCATTTCTTTACACTTTTTCCCTAGCTTTATTCATTTATTTTGCTAATTTCATCATTCCTAACTTGTTCAATTTCTCCAGACACTTATTTACACTACGCGTTAGTAAAACAAGTAGTTTTAGAAAAGCAAAGTGAAATTCATGTCTAAAGCGGTCAACTCAAGCTACACAACGTAGTTAATATAAACGAATCGAAAATATCAAACTAATAAACCAGTACATACACTAAATCACTTACAATATATTACTGTGACGAAACCTGGATGTGAGACTGAAACCAAATTTAATGACAAAACATATATTTCAAGTAAAAACAAGGATGAAAATGTCAACAGCACCAATTAGTCAGTTCATACGCAACGTATAAACTGACATAAATGCATCAGTTCAAATTAAAATATCACTCCTACATATCGAGATGTCAGAGGTGAATAAGTAGTAAAAGTATTACAGTGGTGGAAAATATAAGGTATAAAAGATATAATCCGATAATAAAATGTTGATTCTTGGGATGAAAATAATATTAAAAGTTCAAAGACAATTAGGGAACCAAGGATCAAAGGGGAGACAAAGAGTGGATGCACTTAGTCCTAAACCAATTATCACCGTGTATCAAGGTAGGTGGTGGTTGGGCACACAATACACATATTCTAACCACCTCAAGCAACAGTAACAAAAACCCTTGTTATTGAAACTGCAGATTAAAGGTGACGGTCAGTAAAACAAACAAACGTCGTCTTAGGAATTTGTCGAGAAAACTTATTGCTGTAAAATCAGTTCTGTTGTTCCTTAGTTAATCAATATTGATTCTACTAAATGAAAATAAACTGTTTAGCTCCACCAATTCACTATGGATTTATCAGTTCAACAGCTCTTATAGATTCAATTACAACAGGTTTGCTTGTTAATTCACACGTAAGTTTCTATGCAGTCAGTCTTGATAATGAATTTCTCTTTAAATCACAAGTGTAAAACTCGGTCTTGATGAGCCTGAATTACTAATAAATATAATTAGAACCAAGAATTAATTTGTAGTTATCGCTGTTTAAACCACAATAAATGGCTATGTAAATGTGTCCGTGATGCACTTAACCAGAAAAAAAACGGGTTAAAATTAACTACGGAGAACTAAATCAAGTAAATATACAAAGAAACAAGAATATCACGTCACAATATCAATCACCTTTAATACTTCTGTCAAACTTTGAGCCCCATGTAGGTTCATAAAATAAATAGGAACGTTTTCGCTAAACATACGTGCCCACTCAGCAATTCTGCTGGGTATAGGAGGATCTAGTGGCTCACTGAATTAGCCTTAATGAAAAAGAATCGTCAAATTACCCTGCGAACTGTTGGACTAGTGTCTTACACACTTTCCGTAGAGGCATTTCAAAACTACCCCAAAGTGTCGGAACTCCCTGTTCAGCCAAATCAAGCGAGTACTCGCACATGAAAGTCGTTTTACCAACACCAGTATTTCCTGACAAAATTGTCATTTCTTGCGTACGAAAACCTTTGATTATACGATTAAGCTCAGTAAACCTAGAAAACTAAGCCGAGGATGACAAATAATGATTCTTAAGTACTGGTATTCCTCTAAGTTCAGTAACTCTTGTCAACTCGTTTACGGTTGCTCTTAATAGATCTCCATCCAACCGCAAAACTCTGCTCATTTGAACCACATGTGTCCTTCAAAGTCAAGTAAACGCCTTCATTTAACCCTGAAGGCAAGTTCAAATTGTTTACTGATCAATGGTTTTAGACAGAACAGAAAATGCCTTTGCATAATAATCCTCTGTATCTAGTAGCAATGGATTACCGATGCCTCCAGTAAGTAAATTAGATTTATTAAAGGATAACATAAACAGTGGCAGTAAATAATAGTATGATAATGTCTTTTGTTCCTAAGAATATGTCAAGTTTTCTCTTTGTCATGTGCTTGCGTAAGCGAATAACTTCTGTGAGCTTCCGTTTTTATCCAATTAGGGTCCGAATACCAGCAGCCATGACAATACCGGACAGCAGTTTGATCGGCTGTAATGTGAAAATAATATAATAATAATTCGAATGCTAACAAAGGCAGTCGTTTCAAGAAATCAACAAATAAATACGTTAACTAAATGGTAATGCAGATGGTTTTTTAAGACGAAATTGAAAGAATAATAAAGGAAAGGAGATGGTGATAAGAGAGATAAGGAGTATTTAATGATGTACGATAATGGTAACCGTGGTAACTTGGGAGAAATTGTAGTGTCGGTTATTATGTTAAGCCCATTAACCTTATTCTAGCTTTCGGACAGCCCATTCTATTCATTCTACTTGAGTCACATTCTGACCTTGTTAATTATTTGCTTATCAATCTTGACTGTATTTCATATGAGCGCGTAGGTGTGTACACTTCTTATCCTATTCCTTACATGTCTGTAACTTACTTTTGTGTAGCTATAAATATTGAATAACGTTTGGTTAAATGGGAGTTGGCCTACCTTCCATCTCCACTGTGCGTCGCTTTGCTTGCTTCTATTCCATTCGCTTCATATAAAAAATGTATGTTTTCAAAAGTCCATTCCCGTTATTTAATTTATTTGATTCCGTTATTGACTAACACAATTTAAGTCCATGGTTATATACGAGGATAGGCGGCGACAAACATTCACACGATCTACTTGGAGTCAGATCTCGGGCCACAAAAATATGCGTCAAACACATCTGGTTAAAGAAAGAAATAATAATCAGTATGAAAGCACTACAGCTACTTGGAGTTTGAAATATACTGACCCAGCTAAATGCGAAGTCGAAAATGAAGGGTTTCGATGATGTAATCGAAAAGAAATAGATTTGTCGAGAAACGTTTGATGTAAGTTTGCTAGTAGTTACAAGGGATGTGTAGCACGATGGACCCACCCGTGGTCTAGTGAGGCCTCAGCTAGGGTGTGTTCAGTAAACTCCAAGACTTTGCAAAACCTTAGATGTCTATCCACAACCATATAATTATTGACCCCTAAAGAATAAACACACATCGTGTTAACGGCATTCAGCAGTCTCTACAACACAGCAAAAGCCCGGGAAAGAATAATGGAGAACTGTAAAGACTAACTGACAGTACGCAAGAATCGACAATTTGTAAGAGTAAATGTTGAGTTGCCCCAAAGGATGCAGTCTATTCATGTAGTAAGTTGAGCGGAAAACTTTCTCTGAGAGCAATAAAACATGTGAGGACCAAGAGAGATAAAAAAGAAGGCTTACATCAACATAATTGACCTTCGAAAATATGTTCACCAGAGGATGTCCAATGGTACAAGTTTTATGAGATTCGAGCAGGGTACTTATGCGCGGTTCACATCACGGACTAAAGTTACCAGATTGACATTTGGATGAGTTAAGTATGAGATCAATAACAACAGACCACTACTCAACATGAGACAAGAACTCATTCATTTCAAAGGGATGTAGAATGGTAGAAATCGGTATACATGCAGTGAGATCGTTCGCGCAATTAACAATAGTGGTTTCTGTGGAAGATGGAAAAGATAAACGGAATAAAACAGGAGCTCCTTGTGACACACCCATATGAGATAAAAGGGACGTCGAACACTTTTCTCCAAACACGGTGTACAGTTCTCTTCCAGAGGGGTAGGAACAAAGCAAGTTGTTTATCCAGCTATCTCTGTTGATGGCTATTAACTTTATAAGTTAGAGTTGTCTTGGAATTTAGCCAAATGCACAAAAATAATCCATAAAGACGCACCGAACACATTTCTGACTCTTTTGCAATCTAAATATTAGCTTATGATGTAGAAAAACAGCAGCATCTTAGGTATTTCTTTTGAGTTTGTGAGCGAACTGATACGTATTAATGTTCTATTTTAGTGCATATTGAAGATGGAACATAGATGATTTTTCCGTTGTTTTGAGAAAAGTTGAAGTTATTGCTATTTCATATTCTTATTGCCAGAAACTTTCTTAGGTGTTGGAATTATCTTCTAGCTGGGAAACTGAGCTTAGCTGAGTGCCTCAGGGTACTGTTTTGGGGCCAGTGTTGTTTCTCTTGCATGTAAATTACATTCCTCATCTCTTATCATCATCAATCTTGCTATATGTAAACTATGTCAATTTATAGAGGACGATAAAAAGTAAGGGCGATAGCTTACAGCTCAAAATGACCTGGAGAAATTATCTGAGTGGTCTCAAACTTGGCAGTTGCCGATAAATACTTTCAATTGAATTGTGACACATATTGGTTATCAAGAGACAAATACATACACGATTAATCATATTGAGCTAGCCGTTGTTCAGACACACAATGACTTATGAATAAACATTAGCCAAGGCTAGAAAACTACTACACACTGCCGCGCAATAGTCGACATAGCTTTTAGAACCCTATAGTCAATATGAAAGGTCTTTAGCCATGTCGAAGCTAAAACGTTTTGGCTTTGTACACAGTATTTCGTCATTCTAAACTTGGGTAATGAATATAAACAGCCACCCTTTGCCTAAAACAATACAGTGAGCTGTTGAAAAAGTTTATAGAACAACAACCACTATGATTCCTGGATAACCAAGCTCCCGTTTTTCAAAACACTTAGGGATAAAGTTGCATCTGATATGCCCTCATTTTCCTTGTCTTCCAAAACCGAAAATTTACGAGGACACTCCAAAATGGTGCACGAGCTCAGGACAAATTACTTGTCAACTGACTATAGAATTTCCCTCGAATCAAAAACGAGTGAATTCATCACCCGTGAATTCTTTAATTAATTTCTACATACCTGAAGAGTTTTATGAGACTTGAGTTTCTGAATTTACACTGAGTTCAGACGTCTTACCGCTAGGTGTATAAGATCATTCAGCTTTCGAACTTCAATGGAGTTTTTCTCCTTGCACATTCTTCCTTTTACCCTGTCTAATCAATTTAGTTGCAGAGACGTCAGTCGATCAAAACCCATAAAAATATTATTGGTGGAACAACAGTCATCAAAACAGAATTTAAGATAACATTAAAGGTGTTTTCCACTGAGTCATGTGTAAATAATCCCCAGTTATTTATACAAAAAATGTCCCTCAGATCTTGAGTATTTTCCCCTGGGTAATTCCAGTATTTGACTTTCTTTGTCTGATCTAAAAGTTTACTCATTCTAAGCTAGCCACATACTTTAGGTGGAAAACAAATAATATAATGATCAGGACCAGACAATGGAGAACGTTTACGAATCACATAGGTATCCATATTTAATTGAGCACTCAAACAATATGTCAGAATGTACCACAGAAAATGGATTTATAATATTATGTATAGATAGAACAAGTGAAATTGTAACTGAATGCACCGAAAATACAGTTCTGTTATAAACACTTCTAGTTAATAAGCTTTTTAATGACATAAAAAAATGGGATCAAAAGGTATTGCTATATCTCTATTGCGTGTTATTTTAGGTCGTGTTTAGCAAAGCTTTATGTCTTTCTGGTCTTAAGTATACGTAGATTCATTTCACCTGCCACGTCAACCCTAGCACTCAAACAACCACACATGTATAAACTCAGCAATTTAAAACTGTCTATTTTAGAAGGTGCGCGCAAGTACATTTGCCTCCCGTCTTGAAGAAAAATTTCATTTCGAAAGTGCAAAGTATATGTATCATTTCCTAACGCTGCTAGCTAACTGGGTGGCATGCGTATCATCGTATAGTGAGACAATGTTGTCCACATCATTGGGGTCGAAAGATGTTTCTTGAGATAGCGGAATTTGTTCACTCTACTTGTAAAGAAAACAGAGTAGATCAAACTGAAGAGAAAATTACATATAATATATTAGGTATGGCTTTTAAAAGTTGAGCATTAATGTCTAGGGTAATTGTAACCTGTCCCTTGGTTTTTGGACATCATTACTTGTGCGTGGGCTGTGATACTCTCCGGGTACCTGAACACAAGCAACCGATGACTAAATTGGACTTCCTCTAAAGAAAATATAAACGTGCGACCACGTGAAAAATAGCGAACTTGCCATACCAAGGTATTTGGGGTTAAAAACGAAACCGTTAGTTGAATGGAAAAGTTGAACGAAATTTGGTAGTTCACTTAGTACTGGAATGCAATATTATGCTTTTATTTATTTATTTTAACACATAGATATCGGTACAAGAAGGCACCAAATACATATGCGCCACACATATCTCATTTGATATGTGTGATGGCTGTGATACTGCCCGGATGCCCAAACCGAAGCAGGATATTATGCTTTTAGCCACTAGAAATTCTATCTCTGAAGTTTGCTAACTTATTTAGGACTAGGTCTAGCACCCACATTGTCCATCCAGTAGTTTGACGGAACATTAGCACTACTTTAATGATACATATGTGATCATCCGAAGTTTTGTCATATTTCACCTTTAAAGATTGTGTCGTATGGTCGTATAATATCGCAAGTCAAACTGATGCACGTGATGCTCCTCTTTCAACTGATAATTGGACACCGCGGTTTCATATGTTTTGCAATTTTCAAAGTATCACTTACGCCTATTAATCCTCATGAAAGAGCATAGGCCGCTCACCAGCATTCTCCATCCAACCCTGTCTTGGGAAATCCTTTCCAGTTGTTATTCATCCTCTTCATATCCGTTTGTATTTCCCGACGTAATGTGTTCTTTGACCTTCCTCTTTTCCGCTTCCCTTCAGGATTCCAAGTTAGCGCTTGTCTCGTAATGCAG